TAGGTATGAAAAAGGGAGTCTTACCAGTGCTTACCAATTGAATTTCCCCAAAGCTTCAGGACTTCATTTGGTGGTGGTGTTTTCTTTTTCGTTCTTTGAGGCAGGGGTTTCTCTGTGTAGACCAGGCTGGCCTTGAACTCAGATCTGCCTGCTTCTGCCTCCTGAGATTAAAGGCATTGTGCCACCACCAACCCTCAGTATTTCATGTAAGAATAGGACTGTCTCATTAATCACATATTAATAGTGCGTTCTAAAACTCGATGATTTAGGAAGACGGGCCACTGGAAGTTAATCAAAATAACATGGACACAGTGGAGCACGACAGCAAAGTGCTCAGTGGAGATGTGACTCCAAACTGAAAGGCTGATTAGAGACAGATAGGCACAAGTCAGTTACTTACAAAAAATATTGTCTTGGACTTCCTTAATTTCCAAGGAAATGTGGAAAGCTAAAGACTTCTAATTTGCAAGGATATTAAACATTGATAAGATACATATACACCATACACAGATTTGGGGATTTCAGCCCTTTTCCTCATTTGTCAGAAGCAACCAGGAACCTTCATTATTTTAGAAACATTGCAATGATTTTGAACAGTTTTTGTTTTCTGAGTTGGGTTCAAGGGTCAAAGGGTGTCTCAGCCAAGGCTGACCTCATACTTAGATAGGCAAAGCTGGCTTTGAAATTCTGATTCTCCTGCCTCCACCTCCCAAATGCTAGAATTACAGGTTGTGTGCCACCCTACCTGGCTAAGTACTTTTGAATAATTATTTTCCAGGAAAACATTTCTAGAACCTTGTTATAAGCTATTGTGAAGATAGGTTTTGGGGTGGGGGGGGGTGATGTTATTTTTAAAGTATTTGTTGATCAACATTTAAAAGAACTCCTAGAGATCCGCCTGCTGCCTCCCAAGTGCTGAGATGAAAGGCGTGCACCACCACCGCCTTTTCATATACCAAATGTGGTAAACAAAAAGCAGTTGGCTCGAACTATTTTCTCATTCAGGCTGTATGAAATGCAACTGGGAGAAAATACTTGGAGTAATGTAACTTCAGATTAAATTAGGGACATAGATAAATGCTGCAGACATCAGTAGTTTATTGTTTTAGTCCAAACACATTCAAAATGGAAACTCAAAAAGAATACTTTCCACCTGAAACAATTAAACTAGATTCTACCAGCATATAATGCTTAACACATCACAAAATAAAGATGGTAATCCATTGTCTTCTATACCTACTAAAGCCAAGATGGTAAAGCCAATTTGGTTGCAATAGTGTCATAAGGATAGAATATTACCATCAAAATAAAATAAAATCAGCAAATAACAGTAATGGTAGATGAGTAATTTTTTAGTTTTTCACTGAAAAGGGGACAAAATGTTAAAAGTCCACAGTACTGCAGGTGAACAGTCACCATGTAAACTTCTCCATGTGATGTTTCAATGTTTCATTTGTGGTATGTAAAGGCTGAAGCTGAATGGCTCTTAGCTCCAATTTTCTATTACACTTAACACCTCTTGTCTTTTGTTGCCATAACAGTTTATGTGGGTTACAGGGCAATATCTTGGATTGGAAATACATATGCTTGTGTCCATGTGTTTCTATGTGTGCGTAATACACCCACATACACACATACACACCAGGAAGGGGGAATAATAACAAAAGAAAAATACACTTGGGGAAAACCACTGACAATAAAGCCACGTATTTCAAAGTAGTTTGGATAAAAGCTTCAAAATTCCAAAGTAATTCTCTAGTATGAACTTCAAGTACTATACATTAGAAAGTGTAAAACTGTTTCAAACAAACAAAAAACCTTAGCCTTCCAAAATGGAAACTACAAAAACCTGTGTCCACAAAATATATGCAATAGTGCAAGACATCTCCTCAAACATGGAAGACCTCATTCAAAGGGGAAAGAGACAATAAATTTTACCCATACCATATTGCCCAGCCGACAAAAACAACAAAATAGTTTACTAACTAGCAAACAGTCACAGAGTTCAGAACCAATTTGCTACCATGTCAAGTGTGTATTTTGTTTTCATTAAGGTAGAATGGAGAAGTCTTCCATGTTAACTAACAAGCAGCTTTAAGTGGTCACACTTGTTTACTCCGCTTCTTGCTTGAAACATCAGAAATCTGATATACACTGATTGTTCCAACCATAAAACCGGATAACCTTTGCCATTCTTGTGGTTTACTGGAACCTGCTATAAAGACAGACAATAATCCAGCAGCTAGAAACTTTGCTCACAGAATTGTTTAAAGATTCATGTAAAAATAAAAAGATGTCGTCCCAGACTTAAATTCAGGAGCCATTTGGGTGCTGACATCAGTTCAAGAATTGTGCAAAATGAATGACAGTTCCCTGCCCCCCGATCTTAAGAGCTGCCATTCTCCCTCTGAAAATTGCAGTATCCTCACTTAAGTTTACTTGCCATTTTTGGGAATCTGACTGCTTTTAAAATGTAACTAAAATGTACATCAAGTTGTTTGACTTTTCCAAGCATTAAGTGATAACGTTTTATAGTTCACATTAGAGCTAAAAGTCTACTAGACTTACTCAAATAACTGACTTCCTCTCCCTCCAAACACACAAGACTCCCTCCCACACAGAACACAGATGTTAACTAAAGAACAAGATATATAAGCATCCATTTTACTGATTTTAAAGATACTGCAATTTTTATACTTCAGTGATTTTCTTCAACATTTGCAGCTTTTTGGCTTCGCAGCACAGCAATTCATAACTACACTGCACAGATCACCAGCCAGACTGGAATGATGTGTTGTAGAAGGCACCATCATGCTTATTACATTACCAGAGAACAAAAATACAGGAAACAGTTTTCACTGTCCACAGCTTCAAGAAAGGGAAGGGGAGGAGTGTGTTGAGCAGCCAGCCATCCCTGTACTCAAGAGGGCAGGTTGGAAACTTAGATACGGAGCCACTAAATCTGGCCTAGTATTTAAGACCACAGCATTTGAGGTTCTCATTTTTGTTATTTCATTCATAACTAAATGATTTCCTTCTGGAATATTTGCAGTCTTGTTAAGGTTTGTGTGTGCACACGCTGGTCACAGCAAGCAGATAAAATGCCCTCATCACTTCACAAACTATTCTCTACTGGAAAAGAAGATGAAAGAGTTTTTCCCTGTCGCCTCCTGGTGCAGATGTCAATGTTAATGACTTCAGAGTACCCGATAGTGCATTGTGATGAATACATAACGAGTTTCTGTTGGTTGGGATTGGGGGGAAGCCAAGAAAAAAAGGCAAGATTCTCCAACTGCACCAATCGCACTATTTGTGTTTCCAACATTAGTGGCAGAAACAGCTAACACTTAAACAAAATGTGCAGCAGAGGGTTTTTTTTTTTTTTAAACTCAAATGACCTGAATTCAGAGGGCATGTCCTTTTAAGTTCATTTTGTTGTAGACAGTTTTAGATATGGTCATTTCTCAGTCCTTAATTCTCCAAGTCTAGATTTATAAATTAACAATATGAATCCTGTTGTGAAATTGGGGGAATAATGTCCACTTCAATTTAACTGATAACCAAAAGATGCTTTTCACATCAAAGAAATGATCAAAAAGGCTGTGTCACATTCCAAAGCCAAAAGAACTGAACAAGAATGCAGACACGGTGAGTCGGTACCACTGCCCAACCTGGCCGACAGTGGGCTTCAACGGCGCTGTCCCGTGAAGCGGCCTTCCATTGGCCCGGTTCCTCGGCCAGAACCAAGTTTCTGTGCCATGCCACCTCGCGGAGGCGGTCCTCTTCCATCACGGTCACGCATCATTCCACCACCCACAATTCCACGAGGACCACCGGGACCGCGGTCATTGCGCCTGATGTCCCTGCGGTCCTCTCCGCCACCTCTGGTCTCTCGCTCTCTGGCAGCTCTGGTCTTCTTCTCCTCCACATTTAAGCGTACTTCTCCTCGAAACATAATCGGCTTAAAGAGGAGGAAAATGACAGGAGTGGGTTACACAAGAGGCAAACAGTAACTTGCATATATAAATAAGAAAAATCTTCCAAGAAATAAACTTTAATGGAAGTCTTAATATACAAATTTTGGCCATTTTCAGTCAAGCAAATGAAATCTGAACAAATGAAATATAAGATGATACACAATAAACTAATATTCTCTTCAGTCATTCTTTGCATAAATACCATTTCACAATTAACTATTTTTAGCTTACCATAAAAAAGATTTTCTACAGTTTTAAAATGTTTCAATTCATACTATATACAACAAAAAAGGGAAAATCTTGAGTTATGCCCCTTAAATCACTTACTTTTGCAATTAAGATTCTCTGAACTGGTTCAGAGTCATCAAAAACCACAAAACCAAAATTTGGAAGTTTTCCCCCAACACCCTTGGTATTGATGCGAAGTTCCACAACGTTTCCAAAACCTGTGAAAATATACATTACACCAACGGTTAGATATTTTAACAGAACATTCTAGTGACTTTCAATGTTGAGTGAGCAACCGCCAGGTTTCTGATCAGTCTGAAAATAGAAATGGCAAAGCTGCTGTACCTGGTGATCGTTACAGTGTATCTGCTCAGGTGGGGTATCTCCTCAGACCCTCCCAACTGTGGCAGACAGGTATCGCCTCCTCTTTATTAGTTCCCATAAGAAAAGAACTACTTGTCAAGTTTCAGAAAGGCAAAACAATTTTCCCCATTTTCCCAGTAAGTCTTCTAATTCTAAATGTAAGATTATTTTGTTCAGCTCTTTCTCATCTCCTGAATCAGACTAAGCAACACTCAACAATCTGGGAATCGTGGTACCATCACTTCTTCCCTTCTGACCACTTCAAGTGAGGATGAAAGCAGGTGAGATGCAATATGGAGATGGCAATTTAAAAACTGGGCTTTACTATGAAAAGAAATATCTATCTCTTCCTTTTAAAGGGCTGTATTTAAATTCAAGACTGTCGTCTTTAATGGGAACCTTCAGGTTACAAGTTATGCGAGGTGGTGGTGGTGTTGTACTGAAAACCGTGGAGTCCTGTGGTCCACTTGGACAGGACACCCCCAACCAGTCCAGATTCTCTTGCTCACGGAGGGCAGGTCAGGACCACAAAGGAGAGGACTGAGCCCTGGTGAGCAACTGTGTTTGTCTGACATGGGGTACTTATGTTTTAATTTTAACGTCTAATATAAGAGCAAAATAAACCACTTACTCATAAAGAATTCTTTCAATTCATTTTCATCAATATCATGAGGCAAGTTACCAACGAAAAGCTGATGACTGTCCGGGTAACGAATTATTCTCCGGCTATCAGAATCATTCTGCTCCATATCTCCTCTGCCTGAAAGACAGCAGAACGGGACAATGCATAAAAACAGGCGGAAAGCAATGGATCAATATTCATGCCGGGCATGTGGTGCAGGCCTTAAATTCCAACACTCAGGAGGCAGAGGCAGGTAAATCTCCGAGTTCCAGGACAGCCAGGGCTGCACAATGGTGTACTGTCTCAAACAGACAAAATCAATACTCTATTCCTGCTTTGGCTTAATAAAACCAGATGTGCTCCCTGAAGTGTATTATTAGAAGGTAAATAGTAGTAAATAGGCCGAGCGGTGGTGGCGCACGCCTTTAATCCCAGCACAGAAGCAGGCGGATCTCTGTGAGTTCGAGGCCAGCCTGGTCTCCAAAGCAAGTTCCAGGAAAGGTGCAAAGCTACACAGAGAAACCCTGTCTCGAAAAATCAAAAAAAAAAAAAAAAAAAAAAAAGTAGTAAATATAGCGAAGTGTGGCTACTGACTAGACTGTCAGTCCTTTCTACTACTGATCTGATTATAAATAAATAAAAGGACAGTTATTTCTCTCTAATCCAGAACAAAGCAGATTTTTCAATCATTCCTACTAAATATCTCCTTAGTCTTTTAAAATAGAAAACATTTCATCTTTGTATGGTACAATCAAATGGTACAACATTTCCTTTTTGGGGCCTCTTACCTTCTAAGGTACTGTCACATATAAGTAATCTTACCTGATTACCTCAATAACATAGCAATAGTCATACAAGACAGAAATCACACAAGAAAAATTTTACAATACCTAAATGTTAAGAATGAGCAACTAAGCTGGGCGGTGGTGGCGCACGCCTTTAATCCTAGCACTCAGGAGGCAGAGGCAGGCAGATCTTTGTGAGTTCCAGGCCAGCCTGGGCTACAGATCGAGATCCAGGAAAGGCGCAAAGCTACACAGAGAAACCCTGTCTCAAAAAAGCAAAAAAAAAAAAAAAAAAAAAAAAAAAATGAGCAACTAGATTTAAAAATGTCATCCAAGATCATGATAGTCAATGCCAAAGCTAAAACAAGCTCCCAACCGAAATTTTGGAATTCATCACGTACTTTTAACTACAAACTACATTTCTAAATTTGAGGTATAGTAGCATATCCACCTGCATATCCAAAGCATTCTCTCTTTTTAAAAAATTTTATCTTTTCATTTGTTTGTTTTTGAAGACAGGGTTTCTCTTTGTAACAGCCCTGGCTGTCCTGGAACTTGCTTTGTAGACCAGGCAGGCCTCGAACTCAGAGATCCAAGTGCTGGAATTAAAGGTGTGCACTACCTCCGCCAGGCCTTACATTTTCTATGAATACATGTATTGGTGTTTTGCCTGCATATAAGTAAGTATGTGCACCACATGCATACCTAGTACCCACAGAGGTCAGAAGAGGGCGTCAGATCCCAGAGAACTGCAGCTACAGACAATTCTGACCTGACGTGTGTGTGCTGGTAAACTGAACCTGAGTCATCTGGAAGAGTCACTCGTACTCTCAAATGCTGAACCATCTCTCCAACCTCCAAAAGCATTCTTAAAATTCTCACACAATTCAAATAACCATACTAGCTACCATATCTCAGCTAACAATGCAAAGTTAAGAAAAATTGGAATTTAAGAGGTTATCAGTGTAAATTGTTTTTCCTGAAGAGATAAGAAAGAGTACAGGGTGAGCTAGTTACTAACAGCTCAATTTAGAATTCCTGAGGCCAGCAACACAGGCAAATGATAGAGCATGCCCTATTTTACACCTTCAAAATGCATGTCAAACTCACTCCGGAAAGCTGTTAGCCCAGGCTATCTCAGCAGACTACATAGAGATAGGGACATGGTGCTGAGATAGATAGCCTTACATGGACCTGGGTATGAAACCCAATACAGTTTTTAAAGTTTAGTGTTTTCCAACTGTCCAATAAACCCGAAAGGCCGTCAAGAGCTCAGCTTTACCTGGCCTTGGTCCTCGAGGAGGGAAGCCAGGTCGTTCTCGAGGTCGTTGTTCACGCACCCTGGGTGGCTGAGATTGAACTTCTGGCTTAGCGTCAACCCTTGGCTAAAATATAATGGAAAAATTATTAAAATTTTTATATTACAAAGAATTAACTTGTACTGGAGAAAAACCAACCAAAGTAACTATTAGCAAGTCACTAGCAAGGATAATGATATTAAGTTCATGATGTTTTTACATAATTTCCTACATGTGTGAAAAATACTTTTTAAAATATATTCTGTACCAAGCTAGGACTGTAGGGTAGATCTTAATTCTCACTCTAGATTGTATAATTCACACTAAGCTACTTTTGCACAAAACACTCTTTAAAATTAAAATTATACTCACAATGAAACAGCTTAAGTACTGCTACAAATATCACAAAATGCAAGATGAGCAACTCCATATACATAAGACAAAGTTAAAAAGCTTTCTTATAAAGACAAGAATAAAGACACATAATTCCTCAATAAATATCTAGTTTGCTGCCTTCAGACATCAGCGGTGCTCAGTCACATCTCCTAACCCCATCCCATAATCTTGAAACCAGCATTTTAATAGTCTGAACACATAACCCTTTAGAGCATGGTGGCAAGTGCCTATAATCCCAGCACTCAGAAGGCTGAGGCAGGAGGATCTCAAGTTTGAAGCCGTCTTGAAACAGAAGACCACAATCTCAAAAACGTCTCAAAGAAGCCCTTTAGAAAGGGCTGACCAACCCTCTTCCTTAACTGGGTGGGAAAGAAAGTGACAGGGCTGTTTTGTCCACTACTGACTCAAATACACTGAGGACCTTGTAAACAACACATCCCGTGCATGCTCTCCTTTACTTTACTTCCCTAACACAATAGCATTTCAGTATTCTCAACCCCTGCAGGCTTTCTGCTACCCAAGGAAAAGACAAAGCTAAATGAATCTTCAAAGGAGACTGGAAACATTCAACAGAATATGGAGTTAGTGCTTTAATCACTGAGGACCTTGGTCTAAGCAGTACTCAGTCTTTCATTAGTTATATAACTGAGATGTTATAATTTGCAAGGACACATTAAATATAAAAAAAACTATGGTTCTTCTAAAACTGACCGTTTAGACTGCAGTCACTGTAACCCTAAGATATATATTAACTGTAACAGCAGTTATTTTAAAAGATTTACCTACTTCTTACAGCCTGGTTTTTTTTCTATGTAGACTATATTCTCCTACAAGATGAAATCACATGTCCTGGAATTTGCCTAGTTACAAAATTAATTTTGCTGGGTGTGGTGGCACATCTCAGCACTGAGGAGGGACTAAGTGAATTTCTATGAGTTCAAGGCCAGCCAGAGCTATACACAGCGAGAGATTGAGTTTTCATTTGTGTTATAAAGCCCGTCTAGCTATCTTACTTTGTGTATATGGGATGGGGCAATCCTTGAGAGGATTGCATTTTTGCTTTGTTTTTTAAGATTTATTTTTATGGGCATTGGTATTTTGCCTGCATGTCTTGTATATCTGTGTGAGGGTACCAGATCCTCTGGAACTAGAGTTACAGGCAGTTGTGAGCTGCAATGTAGGTGCTGGGACTTGAACCCTTGTCATCTAGAAGGACAGCCAATTCTCTTAACCACTGAGCCATTTCTTCAGCCCCAGCCCAGTTTGATCTTAAACTTGTGATGCTACTACCATTACTTCCCTGGCTGCTGGGATTGTAGACGTGTACTACTGAAGAACCAAGCATGGTGCTTGAACAATGTCCAGCAATTATTGGTTCACAGTATGCTACCTGACAATGAGATACCTGCTGCCTGTACTTAAGAGTTCAACAGGACATCAACAACCTAAAATGTAATGCCTCAAAAAAGCCTATCTTTAGAAATATATGCTTACCTCCACTAAGGGAGTCTCAAAGCAGAACTCAGTACAGTTTGTGTATCTATCAGAATTGAAGAATAGATGTCCTCTACTCAAACTTTAGTGTCTTACTGGATGTAATATATAAAACATACACATTTTACTTACTGGATTATATATAATAAAAATAGCAAATGTGTGCTGGGAATGATGGTACAAGCCTTTAATCTCAACATCCAGGAGACAGAGAGGCAGGTGGAATTCTATGAATTTAAGGCCAGCCTGGTCTACACTGCCAGAGTTCCAGACCAACCAGAGGTACACAAACCAGAGGTATCTCAAAAGGGGGGGGAGGGAGGGTTGGGTAGGCAGTTAAGAGCACTTGCTGCTTTTTCAGAGAACCCAGGTTCAGTTCCCAGCACCCACATGGTTGCTAAAAGTCCTCTATTTTCCAGCTTCAGAATCTCTGAGGCTCTCTCTATTCTGATGTCTCTAGGCACTGCACATATATGGTGCACAGATAAATGTGCAGGAAAAACCATCATACTGATAAAAATAAATCTTTTTTTGCATATTTCAAAACATATTACCAAAATAAATTCTCAGACCAACTTAAAATTAAAGTTTAAAGAATTTCCCATCTTGTAATTTGTAAATGTGACTTTGTAGACAGAATGCCAGTGCATGGAAGTCGTTCAAAAAGCTAAGAATTGTTCCTTTTATTAAGAAACAAATGCTAGCTAAGCCAGCTCTGTTCTTGTAACTCTTCGTGTCCAATGATTAAAGCTAGCCATTCCTAAGAGACGAAATGGCTAATATCCTACAGAGTATTAGGGCTTTCCATTTAACTTCATGTAACCAGAAAGTATTATAGCAAATCCTACAAATGAATGTCAAACAAAATATAAAATAAAAATGGTCAAATACAGTCAAAAAGTATCAGCACAGCCATACACAAGTCCTTCATTGAACACAAGCTATTTAGAAGAGCTAGTCAGT